TGCGATTACGGGGGTGGATAGTTTTATAGAAAAAGTGTGTTATCCTTTTTTCTTTCTTGATTTTGCAAAATATTTATATATATAAAAAAGAAAAAAAAAAAAAAAAAAGTACCACGAAAAAACATGGGAAGAAATAATTTTTCTTTTTGAAACCATTATTCCTCCGGGAGAAGATGCGACATAAAAATAAATAAAGGAGGGAAAAGAGAGAGATAGAGATATATATATATATACGGGGATCCTCAATAGGCGAGTCTTGTTCTTTAAAAGAAAAGAAGAAAAAAAAAAGAAAAACTAAAAAAGTCACACACGTGTCAAATGGTAAAGAAACTTTGTAGTATATACGCGTTATGTTTGACATGTGATACGTGTGGTAAAACGCTTAAAGAGTTGAGAACCAAACCATCGTGTATCTTCTCACACATGCATACACACATATACATATACATATACATATACAAAATCCAGACACAACAGACGAGCGCACACTTACATTTCTCGTACACGTATAGAAAAAAGAAAAAACCTCGTAGGGGGAATTCATGGTGAAGATAGAAAGAAGAGGAAAAAAGAAAAAAAAAAGATAGAAAGAGTGAGTTACATTGACAGGAAGAGGGGGGATGTTGAAGAAGTAAAGCGTGTACGGTAAACGAACGCTTTCAGAGTAAATTCACTGACTCATGTATATATGTATATACACATATATACGTACACACGTACCATACACATTGTTATATATTGATATTTTACTAAATAACACACGCGACGAATGAGTGAGAAAGCGAAATACGAAAGAGAGATCGAAAATAAGAGAAAGAGTGAGAAAATCAAGTGTAGACGTGGCTTTTGTTCCACCATGAACGATGGTCTGTCTTCTGCTGCTGTCTACAAGCTTCCCCTCTCTCTCTGTCTCTTTAACTTTTATGATAAATCGTAAACAAAAAGGTTTTAATAATAATAAAATAAAATCAAAATTTTGGGTATTCCTCGATAAAATCTAATCTTGAAAATTTGTCAATCGATACTTCGTTTTATTCGTTATAATCCGGCGTGCATTGTCAAGGCCAACGATGTCTAATTAATCGCAATCAAGTTCATTGCCAATGATTTTTAGATCTGGTTTATATAATAGATTATAAATGAACAATAGGATCATTAAAATATATCTACTTGTACAGAAACGAATATTTGGTAATCGATACTCTTACGTTGTCTATGATAATCTAATAAGAATTGTCAAAGCTAACAATGTCTGATCAGTCATTAGCAAATTCATTCAATTTTTATAAACCTGATTCATAATATATAGAATGATAGATTATAAATAGAAAAATAAAAAGAAACTATACTCGAGAGTAGAAACAAATATTTGCTAATCGATACTGTCTACGTTGTCTCGTAATAATCCAACAAGCCTAACCATCGAGCATTGCTGAATTAGTCGCGCCCAAAGTTTTCATTGTTAATAATTTGTACTGTTTATCGTTATATTTCGTGCGATGTGTGTAATAAATTATTAATTAAAAAACAAAAAAATAGTATAAGTGTAGAAAATTTATTCGGGAGACTAAAAATAAAATCTAAAAATTGTTAATCAAAATATTCTCATTCGTAATCGTTACAATTCGATAAAATTTCTTTCAAAATCAACAATATTGTAATGAAATCGTTAGCCCAAGTTCATTACCAAGTGACTTTTTGTCACGATTCACGAATTACTAAAGATAAATTCTATTTCCTTGACACGTACCCTGTTGTTTCTTGTTTAAGGATAAGAATTAGAATTCAAGACTAAGAAAGTATTCCTGAATCGAAGGATGGAAGTTAAAGGGCTAGTTGCCCTGGTGACGGGGGCTGCTTCTGGTATCGGCAGAACTTATGCCATCGAATTGTTAAATCAAGGAGCTAAGGTGAATAAATAACAATATTACTTCAAAGATATATCTATTATCATATCCTAGAATAAATTACAAATACGTTTGCGTGATAAATATTTTTTGAATGATTAATCCAATGACAAGTAGTTCGAACCAAACAAACAAAAAAGAAAGAAAAGAAATATCTTGAATAAAAGATAAAGTTTTTAAAAACTTGATTATCTCATTATTATTATCAATTAAACGAAATTTGTAATTTGTCACTGTTTTATCGGCAGGTATCGATTTGCGATATCGACATTACGGAAGGTGAGAAACTGGCTGAAGAACTTACCATGAAATATGGAAAATCTCAAGTGATATTTTCCCCATGCGATGTCACGGATTATCCACAATTCGAGAGTACGTTCGATCACGATCCCGACCATTATAAAAAAATCTGTCATTAGATAGATTAATTATATCTTCATAATTTCATTGATTGCAGCTTCGTTTCAAACAACGATCGCTGCTTTTGGACAAATCGATATTGTCATCAACAATGCCGGAATAATGAACGATCGATTTTGGGAACTCGAAGTCGACATCAATCTCGTGAGTTAATTTTTTTCTTTTTATTTTTTTCAATTATTTATAACACAATATTTGAATTTCAAAAAAAGTTCCAACTTGCTTTCCACGTGCTTTTATTTTAACAATTTATTCTAAAGGTAAACGAGATGAGTAACAACATGAATATATATGCATAGTTTATAAATATGAAAATAATAAATATAAAATATAATATATATATATAAATAATTAATTGACACATTTTTGTTTCTTCGATAAACGTAAACGTATTATATTATTATATTGCAAAAATGCAATGACTAAGCGTTCAGCCGATAATCAAGAAACGTTGCATAAATTTAATACCGAATATTTAAATGTTTGAATATTTTCCTGTTAAATCGATACTTTTCTTTTCGATTAATATTATTTTTTCTGATAATTTACTCTCTCTCTCGCGTCAAATATTAAAAAAAGAAAATAATTATTAAATATATTGAATATATAAAATGTTTTACAACAACGTTGAACTTTTGAACATTATATTTTGTTTTGTTTTTAGAATGGCGTGATACGTGGCACTCTACTTGCCCAACGATTTATGGGTACGGACAAAGGTGGACAAGGTGGTGTAGTCGTGAATATCGGAAGTAACGTCAGTATCAACCCCTGCGTAAGCGTGCCCATTTATTCGGCAACAAAAGCGGCAATCGTTAGTCTTACCAGAGCATTTGGGGTAAGTACTTAAATATGCTAATGAAATTTTATCGAACTATTTAATATCTATGATGTATCATTTTAATTAATTTTTTTTTCCTCTAAATAATTTAATACTTTTTATCGTTATATATATATATATATATTAAAAAATATAGGATCAGTATCACGTGGATTTAACGGGTGTCAAAGTGATGGCACTTTGCCCAAGTACAACAGACAGTAATTTGGTGCCGGATGTTGGTAAACAATTACTTTCACTGCGATATAAGGATGCCTGGAGTCGAGATACTAGTTCTATTGTTCCGCAAAAGTAAGGAAAATTCAAATAAAAAATATATACAAAATTTCAATGAAGATTTGAAAAAAGAATCAAGTTTCTACTATTACTTTTTATCAAATCACACGCAAAACACTTTAATATGCTTTAACTTATACAATGAAATCCTATTTCGAAGATAAAATAAAGAACTATTGTTTTGCAATTTATTTACGTTTAACAATATTATACGACAGTTTAACGTTAAACGATCAATACGATTATGATTCGAATAGAATTTGTTCCCGAATGAATTTAATATATGAAATGTTGTAATCTTAACAAAAATAATAATAAAAATTATTTTTCAGAGCGGAACATGTTGCCAAAGCGTTGATTCATATTTTGAGTACCGGCAAAAGTGGCAGCGTTTGGATGGTCGAGAACGGTGAACCACCTCGTGAAGTGAACTTTCTAAAATATTAAATAATTAACCAAAAGAGCCCACAAAAAGAGAAAATAATAATAATAATAATAAACAAAAGGAAAGGAAAAGAAAAGAAAATGAAAAAAGTCTCAACGCGTCAGTCTCGCACGACACGTAATTCTTCCTCGCTTAACCACAAAATAACTATAACTATGCCGTAACTATAATTATAATTTTATATCGATTTTTTATAATCGAAACTACCATTACCGAAATTCTCGAATCCGAGTTTTGTGACGATCATAATCACTATTAAGATATTATTCGTCTACTTACTATCATCATCATCATCATTATCATCTTCATCATCACCATCATCACCATCACCATCATCATCATTCTCATTAATTCATCGAGAATTCGAGTTAGCGACATTTTGTACGTTTTTACTCTCTTTCAAACGAATCCTGTAATTTAGCACCGATCCCGATTAAATTAGCACGCTAGAATCGCGTTAATCGCTTGGTCGTTAACGGATACGTCCGATAATTATTTGCTTTCAAAAAAATGAAATAAAGGTATGCGTAAGTGTGAAGATACGTATGTTTGCGCGGGTGCGTGTGTTGTGTGTGTGTGTGTGTGTGAGAGAAAGAGAGAGGGACGATTGATACAGTTCGTAAGTACACCATAATGGTATTACTCGTCCGTTGCTGAAAATAAATAAGAAAACAAAACAAAAAAAAAATGAAAAAAAAAAAAGAAATGAAACAAAGTAATAAGAAAATACGTTGTAAATCTCTACGACAATTTTTCTACGACAATTTTGTTCTGCGCCGAAAATAAAAAAAAAGAAAAAAAATTACTACAACACAAATTTTTGAAACGACAAATCGCTCATCGAGATACGAACAAAATTTTATCGCGAAACGATACGATAAAGGGAAACCGACTGTTTTTGTTTATTTGCAAAATAAATTATAATAATGAACGAATAATTGATCATCGTTATATAAACTATAATATCTATATAATCATAATTTTCTTTTATTAGTTAGTCAGATAAATAATCTTCTTGAAGATATTTTATAAGATAAGTAATAATAATTAATCATCGATAATGATTAATTTTGATTATAACTGATTTAACAATTTTAATACTTTGTTATGTAATATTTATTCAATAATTTCATACAAATTCGATACGTTTTACGTAGATAATTTAAACTCTCGATCAATCGAAGATTTATAAATGATTATTTTCTATTGTCAATTTTTGTGAATATTTTTTAATTGAAAATTTGAGAGTTATTTTCAACATAGGCAACGTAACAGAAAAGACGAAATTAAAAAGGATGATGAAACAGTTTAAAAACAAATGCATACGTATATATGTATTTATATTACGTATTCTCGATCGATGAGATAAAGAAGAAGAAGAAGAAGAAAATATTCGTAGCTAATGGAAACTATTGTTGGTTCGTTTGTTTGTTATGATTTGCTGAGAATGTATGTTGCCAAGCTTTGCCAATAAAAATGCATAGCTTTTTAAGAAAATCGAAAGGAAGAATGAATTAGTCTTATTTATTTATTTCATTTCATTTCTTTTTTTACCTCACTTTGTTTCATTCTTGTGGTCATTATATTGATTTAAATAAACAAATAAACGAGAAAAACGTAAGTACTGCCAAATTAAAGTTATTCATTTGATACAATTTTATATATTCGTAGTAAGAAAAATTCTTTCGATATAAAATATACATATATGCATAACATATTACATTCATAATTTTTTTTTGTCCTATTGACAAAATGTTTTATTAACGTCAAATATGATATCGAACACATTATTATGATAAATCATTATTAATATTCAATTCCATATTATTCTGATTGTAAATAATTTATTTCAAGTAAAACTGGATGGAAAATTAAAGCAATTAAATCGCAATGGAAATTGAAGAAGAAAAAATAGAAAAAAATAATATAGAAGACAAAGAAAAAGTTATTAATAAAAATACACTCTTTTTTTCTCTATTATTGGTAAAATCTCAGTTCTATTATAAGGTATGTAATCGTTCAAAATAATAAATGATAATTATGAAACGCATATTATAATTTATGCACAGGACATATTCAATATTCAACAAATTTATGTGCATGCTCGATCGACTCGAGATATTCGAGATCTCGAATATTCGAAAGATCCTACATTTAAAAATTTATTCGAATCATTCAGTTGAAGGGAATGCAAACAAAAAAAAGAAAATCACTGTTGGATGGTAATTGTTGCATGACAATACGAGAAATAATCGAGTAGTTGAATTTATGAAATTTGACAATTCGCGATTACTTAACATCTTTGATTCTAAATATGAAAAAATCGTCTACCAATTTGCCGCGTTTACAAAAATATAAACAAAATTACTTACCCAACAATTTAACGTTTACAAATGTAGCTTATCTCACATTTCTTCATGAAATATATTATTTTGATGTGGTGTATCAGAAAATTGAAAGACGTAAAGAAAAATAACGGATAAATATCTCGATCGATTAATCGAAAATTTGAATCATTCGATATAGAGAATGAAATTCAAAATTCGAATAGCTGATGATAAGAAACGAACCAAAAATGAAGATTCCGCGTTCCCTAAATTAGGAATCGGGGGAACACGGAGCGCGCCTTCGGCGATTTACAATCATAAACCGTGGTTTGCTTTATACTTATCGTTCGAGCATGGTTTTATTATGATTTTTGAGCGCCAGGTGGCCGCGTTTTTGCTGGCCATTCGTATAGCGGTGCAATTTACTGAGCGCCATTGCATCGATAAATGTCACGAGGGTAGGTTCGGATTTGTCAAGTAAATTGGTTTTTTTTTCGCGCGATAATAAAAAGAGGTCCAACGTTTGTTTGATAATTAGTTATTTTGGTGTAGTGCCGATATGTCTAAGCGAAAAAATGCGACGGTTAAAAAGGGTCGGGCTAAATCTAGGAAAGTCGAATACGATGAGGAGGATATTTCGAGTGAACACGATTCCGATGTTGAGGACGCCGAGAGTGGCACTAATGTCGACGGTGAGGACGCTGCCGAAGACGATCTTACCGATGTCTCCAATATACCTGAGCTGCCGTCGCCAGAGGTGACTTTTTATTTACTATTTATCTCATTTCAATATTTACCTCAGGTAACACAAATATTGATGAATAAAACACGATGAAATCCTCCTCCTAACGATGCGAGAAGAATTACTATATGTTGATAACGACGAACCTGGCAACGAACTAACAGTACGTAACACGACATTTATCTCTGGTCATGAATATGAAAAATAATAGAGGTGGCTTATGATGGATTTAACAAACCTACACTGTCATCGCAATACGCATGTAATATTTCAGATCCGTGTAATGCAAAATTTCATGCAAATTTAAATTAATTTGCATAAATCCATTGGATTCTGATAAAAAAAACAATTGGAGCATAATAAATAATCTAATCGCTGACTATATGCTCCTATTGATTCTGTTACAGGGAGGCTGGGGTAAGCCTGGTACGTTGCTTATGTGCGGTCTAACTAATTGGGAAATGGCAGGACGCAAAGCGCCTCCTAAATCACTCAAGACTAATGTTGGACGTAGTTTGTGGACTCCGCATACTTTTAAGAATTTAAATGGAGCTCGTATCAGATTGATTGCTTCCGGGCCTGCTGCCTCTCATAACATTGTTGTTACGGAGGATAATAGATGCTTGACTTTTGGTAAAAATGATAAAGGTAAATTGATCGTTGGGTCTTCCTTTTTCTTTTTTAATTTCAAAGTCACACATAAATACTTTACCTGCAAATCCGCAGAGTTCTCTGTAGTGCTGGATTAGCAGGATATTATTATATATCATATATGAACATTATTTCATAACTTTGAGTATTTGTTAGGCCAATCACTGTAATTATCACAATTATAGTTATAATCTACTTTTTAGAATTCTACAACAAAAAATCTGTTTAAATTCTATCTAAAATCATATTGAATAATCTATATTGTCAATGAATTGTAGGTCAATTGGGTGTTGGTGATACTAAACGTCGGGATGAACCAACCGAAGTAGAAGCATTAAAGGGACACACTATTATAGCAGCATCTTGCGGTCGAAATCATACACTTTTTTTAACCAGTCGTGGTTTAGTATTTGCTGCCGGGGACAATAAGTTAGGACAGTGTGGGGTAGGAAAAACTGATCCCTGTATTGTTAAAGCTACAAAAGTTAAATATACCGGACCTCCCATAGTAAAACTAGGATGTGGGGCAGAATTTTCTATGATCTTAGATATTAAGGGTGGCCTACACTCTTTTGGATGTCCAGAATATGGTGTATTAGGTCATAACACAGATGGAAAATATTTTGTAACTAATACGAAGATGGCGTTTCACTTCGAGAAAGTGCCTAAGCGAATCGTTTTATACGTAGAGAGAGGTAAAGATGGTCATGTAACGCCATTAGACCGTGTGGAAATCACAGATTTCAGTTGTGGTCATTATCATACAGTTGCTATTGACAGTATGAATCGTGCTTTTTCATGGGGATTTGGTGGAATCGGTCGATTAGGCCATAATGAACAAAGAGATGAATTAGTACCACGTTTAATTAAGTTTCTCGAGCCGCCTAATCGAGGTGTTAGGTCTGTTGCCTGTGGTAGTACTTACAGTATTGCAATTAATGTTCATGGTTCAGCACTTATGTTTGGACAGACTAAACGTACTGGAGAAGCTAATATGTATCCGAAACCTATTCAGGATTTATCAGGTTGGGAAATCAGATGTATTGGATGTTCACAAAGTAGTATAGTTGTTGCTGCAGATGATTCTGTTATTGCCTGGGGAGGTAGCCCCACTTTTGGTGAATTGGTAAGTAATATTTTGTAATCGCTAAAACTTCAATTGTAGTATTTTTATATTTACAAAATAATTATATTACATTCCTACAGGGTTTTGGTGAAATGCGCAAATCATCAACTACTCCTATGGAGGTAAAAGCCTTAGAAGGTTTATACATTACAGCTGTTACTTGTGGCGTCTCTCATACATTAATGATCTGCCGAGATGACACAGAAGAGGAAAAGGCTAAAATTAATAAACTTCCAGTATATTCTGTTTAATTATTAGATAATTTTTTTGATTGATAAATACATGGGATATACAATGATTACCACCAAACCTTTATACAAATAAACATTGGAAAGAATATTTTAATTCTATATTCAAGCGTAAGTAATCATATCCCAATAAACAAGGTCAGCCTAACATCAGGGATGCATTGTAAAAAGATTTAAGCTATCTTTGCTTGGGTCCAGAAACAGTTGCAGCATAGAAATGCTCAATTCCTTGAGAAAAAGTCTTTAGCAGACTGGAAAATACGTCCATATGAAACATAGACTTAGCTATTACTCTACTTTGTACTTCCAATTTTTACTTAATCTGTAAATGACAGTTCATCTGTAATAGTAATCCCTTTCTGTTAGTAGCTCAGGATATAGACCAAACAGATAGATGCAAAAATATATTTTGATACGTTGCTATTTTATTGGAGTTCGCTGTAAATTTAAACCACAGCGAAAAGTGATTATTTGTATGAGAAAAAGTGCTGGGAACTGGAAATTGTTAAGAAAGTTTTTTATTTCTATCATTCATTGTAGTGAATTTATTATAATCTTGTAATCTATACCATTGATTCATTACGGTAGTACCTGAATCATTGCACCCATAGAAATTTTTATATTACATATGTAAGTACTATATAATACATGACATATATAGAGATACATTTAAATAATTCACATGTCCAATGATTTATAAACAATATGTTAACGACTTAATATTTATGGTGTATGACCAGTAATTTTATTTTATATTAGCCTGTAAGATATGAAAGCTTCCTTGAAACCAGCATTATTTGTCATACCTTTTTTTATGAAAATTAACTCCTTTTATCTTATTTTATGTATAACATATAAGAAGTGAAGTTTCAGTGAACATTATATATTGTTGGCTATTGTATTATTATGCAAGGCATTCCAAGATTTCTATCACAATTCACAATTATTTGGAATCCCTTGTATCTCATCTCAGCACAATTATTTAAGATTACTTATTTTTATTTTATATTATTATTTTTATTTTATATTATTATTTTTATTATTTTAAAAAAATAAAACTTTTAAGGTGAAGTAAAGTATTAATTTTACTTATGTTTTCATCATAAAATATAAAATATATAGAAACTTATAAAACTTACTTTAGATTTTACAAGACAAAATGTAAAGAACACTGCCAAAATGTGTTAAAACATATTGTTTTTTTTATTGTAACACGTCCGGTATTTAACCATTCCATTTCTTTCTATGTAATACTCTTATGCAGATTTTGCACTAAAACGAACTTGTTCTAATAAATTTGTAACGAATGTACAATTATAATTGTCAAATAAATGAAATTTTTAAGAAAAAATTTATAGCTGTGAATCCATATAATCTATGACTTCTTTCACATATTTTTCTGGAACATTATTATATTTCCAACGTAATAGTTGATACGATATGTAATATATTGGATCCGTTGGATTGTACTTTAAAACACTGCTCAATGCCCAGATGAGTGCTAATACTTTATTGTGTCTGTATGTATATAGAGAGAAGAATTCAAATAGTTCTAGCAAAAACTTTGAATAAATATATATTATAAAATTGAACTAACGTTAATTTTGTTGATTCTAGATATTCATAGCAGGAACATTTGAATGGTTTAAAATTACAAGATTGACTTGTTACCGTATAATCATTTGGAGAAAGATACTTTTTACTTGAAGTGCACGAGGAGATATCTTGTTCATATTCTGTTTCACTAGACATGATTTTATTTTCTATATTGTCTTACAACATAAAAAACATAAGATATACTAATTTTTTAATATTGATAACTTCTTTTTTTTGTACATATACTTCATAAATTTGTGAATATATAGCAAAGAAATTAATATAAAATTTCATAATGAAATTATAAAAAATAATTGAGCATCAGTTTACATTATTATAAAATTGTATATGATCTTGTTAACAAAATATTTAAAATATATGAATTTAATGGTCTAATAACATACAGGGTGTCCTTTAACTGATTGTACAAACGAGTAGAAGTGATTCCGTAGAATTCTGAAAAACTATAAATCAAAAATGTAGAATAAAATTTTGTTATATAAGACTTTGTTTATGAGAAAAGTAAGTTTGAAAATTTGTCGAATACCCATATGCTTGACTGAACTTGCAACTCTGGAAACTTATTCAATAAGTATAAGTGTAGAACTGATACAAATATTATCATCTCACACTGACAATATATATATAAAAATATTAAGAAGAACAAAAATACTCTCTTAAATATCAGAGAGTCATCTGTCAAATTGAAACTTTATCAAGTAAACGAATACATAATAAATTTTTTAACTTGTTTTTCTCATAAATAAAATCTTATATACGAACAAATTTAATTCTACATTTTCAATTTAGTTTTTCACATTTTTGATTTCTGCTTACTTTTACCACCAGTTACAGGAGACTCTATATTTTAATATAGTAGTATATAATATATATTGAAAATGCTTTATTTACAAATAAGTACAATAAGTTACAATAGACTTGTGTATAAGACAATGACCATATATTATTTTGAAAATTTTATTTGTACGAGTATATTTCCACTTATTTTTAATTTTTGGATCAGTATATCTTCTATAAATTATGTGCATTATAGGTATTGGAATATAAGCAAGTAAAAGACAAATCATTATAAAAGAAAGAAATTTTATCCTCTAATAGATAGACATACGTTTATATTACCCACATAATAAATTTTATATAAGTGTATAAATGTAACAAAACAAGAGATTCTATAAAAAGTGATCAAGCGTCTGTGATAAAAAATTGATATATAAGTGTTAGGATAAATATTTATTTATGAATAATTTCGAAATAAATTAAACGTTGTTCATTTAGAATATTTGAATAAACAGAGCTTTGGCTAGCTTATTATTAATGGTTCAAAGCACCAGCTTTTCATTCTTAGCTCACCCTACGTCCGATTTTTTGTACACCTGCAATATATAACTATAAATTGATGATATTTTTTAAATTCGTAGTTAATTAAATGATTAATTATAATAAAGAGGTCTATAAATTGTTAGCACATTTTGTTTGTATTGTTCGCAGATGGTGTATGTTTGTTTCTTTATCTAATGTAATATAATTCTAACAATGATTTACGGTATTAATTATTCATTGTAACTTATTCTTGTTTCTTAATAAACAACATACCATACAATAGGCATCATGATTATAATCATTACCAAGAGAATTTCTTTATCACAGCCACTTAAATCATACTACAATAACAACGCGAATATGAATTCTGTGGTTCGTAACCATCCGTTAATTGTAATCCTCTTTTTCCCATTCGATATCTTGCGCCGGTTATATTGCCATTATCGATATATTTTTGCGATTGAGTATCCCATAAACCGGGAGTTTGCAATATCTATTAATAAATAATATTTAGTATCAGTAGTTATATTGTTAATTCCTTGCACTATGATTTAACATATGGAACTGCATGCCATATTCAATGAAACAATTAATAAGTAAGTTTATAAAATTGGCCACAGGGGGGAGAGTAGGATTCTTGTTTCTCATGTTTAAGTTATAAAGCGTATCACAAGGCTCATGTGTCATTATAGTCTAACGGATTAATATACAATAAATCATTGTAATTTACCTTTTGAACAAGTTCCTCAAAGCAACACTTAACTCCATCTGCAGTTTTTGCACTACTTTCGATATAAAGCGACTGATGTCTCCTAGCGAATTGTAAACCTTCTTCGTTGCTTACCTCTCTATTAGGTAGATCTATTTTATTACCAACTATCATTTTAACGATATCTGTTTTATTGCAATATGTATTTAATTCGTTAAGCCATGTATCAAGTTTTAAAAATGTATTCCTATCGGTAACATCATATACTAGAATAGCTCCTTGTCCATCTCTATAATAACTTGGCGTTAGAGTACGAAATCGTTCTTGTCCAGCGGTATCCTATATATATGACAATAGACTTATATATATATATAATTATTACAATTAAAACTTTACATAACATGTACACACCTATAGTTTCAAAATAATACTATTTATACAAGTAATTATATAATATTAATTAAATAACTAACCCAAATAGCAAGTTTCACTATACTATCATCAATTGTGATATATTTTGTTTTATAGTCCATACCGACTGTATTTCGCATATTTTCCGAGAATTCATCTTCTGTGAACCTTAAAAGTATACTAAAAATACAAAATACAAAAGAAAGGATGAGCGTTATATCATCAATTAATTTAACATTGTAAATTAACCCTATCAAGAAAAATTGTATATGTATAAATGTACATACACACACATATATATATATATATATACGATTACTTTAAATCTACCTTGATTTACCCACGTTAGATTCTCCTATCATAAGAAGTTTAAGAACTGTTAAAATATTTTGATCCATATTGTGATCATCCATGATGTACACTTGAATGTATTTTCTTTAACGTTTGCGTCGTATTATTTTTCTACGACACGCAATTGACTTTTGATAATGCAACAATATATCTGCACTTCATAAGTATTAATTATCAACAACATAAACGCGTCACAAATTAATCCGGTGACACACAAGTTCGTATAACTGCAAAAATAGAAATTCTCCCTTCTATGATAAAGATTCCTTCAATTTCCCCAATCGTCCTTCAGATGGCGCAACGATTGCCAGATGCATTTCCAAAACTTTTTTACGATTTTATGCAACTTTTTTCTTTTTGCTATCTTCTTCATATAATTAATTCAGTAAGTATATATAAATATCTCTTTTTTTTTTTTTTGCATATATACACATAAATCAATTATCATTTCTATTTAAATGAATATTATGAATATGATCATTTTTATCAAATTTATTAATAATTTTGTTAATTATTTTTATTAACAACAATTATCTCGAAAAGATTTTCTTTTTTAATGAAAACAAATGCGATATTCAATTATTATTTTAGAATTAATACAATGAAATCAATATTATATGTTATATATAATGGAAATGTACGATTTCGTAATAGTTAATATAATTTATTTACAAAATATATGGTTTAAATAGATCGATCGATCAATACTTGATACGAAGTAAACATAAATGGATAAAAAAGAAAAAGAAAGAAAAAATAAAATAGAGGGATTAATTCGACGAATGATATGCAATTTCATTTTTATTAGTGTGGTATCTGTATCAAGGAAAATATGGTGTCAGTATTTCTAACCTATACCAAATTCGGTATTCGCATAATCGCACGTCTGAAGATGACGTTTGTAATAAATTATTACAGACAATACAATGTCGATTATTAATCATTATTCTTACGCGTATAAACGAGTAAATTAAAATTTCGATATAAGTTAGGAAAAAAGAGAGTAAAAAAAAAAGAAAGAGAAAGAAAAAGAAATAAGAATGCATAATGAAAAAAATAGATTCGCATTGTTATTCGAACAAACGACGATAATATATATATATATATATATATATATATACACATACAGTAGTTAGTTATCTATTCGGATGAATACATTCGCATACTTAATTTAACCATAATATCGAATTGGAATTGATCGCATATGATAAATAAATAAAATAATAAATGATTATTCTTAAAGTATATATGTTAAAGAAGGAATATCGAAGGAGGAATAAAAAAGTATGTAAGAGTATACTTGTTATCTAAAATAAGGTAGAGAGAAGTTTGGCTTGATTGCAAGGATTAAGATGGCCGCGGTAGGCTGCCATGAAGGGAGTGCGTCGCTCGTGCTCGTGGAAATGGGACGTTGCAACATCGAAGTGTCATTGTTGTTCTTATGAAGTGTCAGGTAGTGACGTTAAGTGATTCAGTTAATTTAACGAATTTAAGAAGAATCATTAGAAATGGCATCGGACGGGTAAAATATATTTCTATTTTAAATATATGATTAAAGAAGGAGTCGTAAACGCGCTAGTCACATATAACGATATAATGTATGTATGCTTAGCCCGAATGGTTTGCTGCAGATCGATAGTGAATTTTTACCACTGACCCGTCCTAGTTTTCACTCTAGATAAGTTTTTCGTGTTATTATATGGGATTTATTTTAAACCTTTCTCACGATTCTCCTAAGATATTGGGCGGGTCCCCCCAAACCAACCAACCAACATTTACTTATTGTCTTTTATACATTGTGTCATTTTTATGCGCCTCTTAGCTCTCACTCTCTTTCTGCGCACTGCACCGTACTATTCGTTATCTTTCCTTTTTCCTCTTTCACCATTTCGCGCTTTCGTTTCTTATTATTATTCTTCTTCTTCTTCTCCTCCTTTTCCTTTTTTTTAATTCCCTATCTTTCTTTCCTTTTTTTTTTTCTTTCCTTTTCGCGACTATACGCACACGATCTACGCGCGAATGACTCTCCGCGGCCTATTTTAGCCAATTAAACGGATAACATGACATCAGGCAGTTGCTTGTAATGCCACCAGCATTCCTATCAATTTATGATCTTAACAATAGGGGTCGAATGTTCTTTTGCTTCTCTTATCTTTAACTTTTTTACTTTTTTGCATTTTTTTTTCCTAATTTTTTTCTATTTTTATATCGTAGCTTTTATTCCTGGAAATTAAGTGACTAATAGATTATGTATCTTGCTTGTGGTTTTTCTCATATTTGCTTTGCCAAGTATTCACTTTTTAACTTGCTTCAGTTTGGTGTATTTTAATCATTTCGTTATATTTATAATTAGTTTAATTCTAGTCGTTCACAAGTCAAAGAGATTAACTTTAGTTTCAATATTTTGCGTACATTTTGGTGTTAAAGTGCTGAATTTTTGCTGAAATTTTCACGTTTGTAATCAATTTTTTTAATAACGAGCTTCACACTATTAAATAAAATTCCTTATGGCTGTTGAATGATAAGTGATATGACAATGTGTGTAACTTTATTAATTTTTCTCTACTCTTAGTTTTATGGAGTTAATTGTTTCGGCAAATGATTTCATAATTTATTTGGCTCGTACATTCGTTTTAACATAGATCAATCTGTAAATCTAAAATGTGATATCTTAATTACAAATAATTACAGTAGGATGGAATGGGTCGAAATCATAGAACCACGTACGAAGGAGCATATGTATGCCAACCTTACCACCGGAGAATGTGTATGGGATCCACCACCTGGTGTACCTGTGTAAGTGATTATTTTTTCTATCTTTATATATTTTTTATTTGAAAGTGAAAAAGAAAGAAAGAGAGAGTTTACGTTTACGAATAATTTATAGGAAGAAGACAGATAATAATCAGTGGTGGGAATTATTTGATCAGAATACGTCAAGGTTTTATTACTATAATGCCACATCTCAGAAAACTGTCTGGCATCGCCCAACCGATTGCGACATTATACCCTTAGCAAAACTGCAGGTGAAAAATTTGATCCATTCGATATTACTTTACATTATTTTACAAGTTTTTAATTTGTATGAATTTGATGTTTGTAGACATTAAAGCAGAACACAGAGCCAGCTGGTAGTAGTGGAAGTGATATCCACAAAAATGCAGAACCTAGAAAGAAAGAATCTGTATCTACACAGACTCAAACACCTGTTAGTCGTTCAATGCGTTTTAATCATCAAGACAATCCTAATTTATCTGTTACACTGGTAAGATTAATATTTCTGTGCAAAGGTATTTGCTTAATATTCTTCATATATTGATTTTGTATTTTTATTTCGATAGCAAGTGGGTAGTGCTAGTAAATCTCGAACATCTGGCATCGGTGTGGATATGCAGACATCTCCACCATCACCATCTCCTTCTTCAAGACGACATCATCATCACCATCATCATCATCATAATAATCGGCACCATAGACATCACGAAGTACCAGCAACTAGACGACAACATAATCATTCTCAAGATTCTGGTCGATCCAGTGATAGTTCTGTCTCCCATAGTCGCACTTCTTTAGAATCAACAGGGTATCGATTGCTAGATTCTCCGCATCGTCATCATCATCGTACTACGGTTCAACCTCCTCCAACACATGCTCAGTCTTCACCTAGACAGCATAGTGGCACATTAGAAGGTAGATGTCATAAAAGTGGGACACTTGAAAACGTTAAAAATCAGAAGTCTATATCATTGGGTGAACCACCACCACTGGGATTGTCTCTCTCAACTAGTACTCCTCTCTTCAAGAAAAAGACTTTCCCAGATGCACAACGCGAGGGTAGAGTAGGAAATTTGGATCTTGAAAAGAACAAAAATGGTAAGGTTTATAAAGATTGTCTTATTAAATGGAATAAAATAAAAAATCAATTACACTTAAAAATATATTTGAAAATGTAGGTAAAGAAAGTAGTAGGGGTTCCTATGGTCCTGAACCAAGTACTTCTCCATATAGAGATTCTTTAATGGAATCAAGAGTATTCAGGCAAGAAATGCCACCCTATCGTCCGCCAGAAGTTCAAATAAGTCATAGCTATAAATCCCAAGGTGAAAAATATGGTTCGTTAATTGAAAGCAGTAACCGTTTCCTTAGAGAAAGAGATTGGGAAATGCATCAAAGAGAAAGAGTTAATAGTTTAGACAAATCTAATACTTCTGCCTTTTATCCAAGTTCCATGCATCCACGGAATATGAATAAACAAGATACTACAGGTAGTATAGGTAAAAGACATTATGGATGTTCTGCTTCATTGTCAGAAGCAAATGTTCGTGACATGTATGGAGCAATGTTAGCAGAGAGAAATGATCCATCCAAGAGTTTAGTAAGAGCTACAGGAATTATTGCTAACGTAGCCAAACAGAGAAGTATGGAAGTATCTGAGAGAGAAAGAGAACGGGATCGTGATAGAGAAAAAGAATATAGAAGAAACACAGCGTGCAATAATTCGCTTGATTGTAAGTACATGAATTTAGAAGTTTACTTTTAAAATATAACTTTTTAAATATTAAAGAGTCGATTGTGATTGATTTATAGGCACATCGCAACCTCTAGCTCGTAGTTATAGTTTTGTGCAACAACAAAAATTGCAACAATTACATCAGCAACAACAGCAGCAGCAACAACAACAGCAGCAGCAGCAGCAACAACAGCAAAGTAGAAGAAGAGATAGAGACGAGGATGCCATGCACGAGCGTTATTTGATAAGTCAAAGTCATGAACAATCTAGGCAGCGACTTAGTAGTAACACTAGTAGTAGCAACAGTAGCAACAGCAGTAGTAATAGTGCTGTAGGAGAAGATATCGAAGGACATTTGGATACGGAAGATAGTAAGAAGAAGAGAAGTAATGGTAATCCGAGTCCACCGTTATCCCCGTTCTATGGAAATCTTTTATCAGATGCAGATCATTTGTTACCACTTCAACATTATATTCTTCAACAAGCTAAATTATCAGGTAATTACATTTTGGTTCTTGTATTACCTAATGATTAGTCGTATGTGATGTATTTATGTGTTTATTTCTAAAGGTTGTTACAAGTTTGGAGATCCATTGTTAGTAGAAGAGGGTGATGATTCTTTAGACGAAGAGGGTGGTCGAAGTGGAGGTATAGGAGGAAGAGTTGACGATGATTCTGATGATCAATTTGCCGATGACGAAGCAGCAAGTAATCAGGGTGACTCGTCTAGCCAAGAATATCTCGAAGATCATTATGCTGGTTAATATATTATCATTGATTTAATGTACATATTAGTTTTTATCAATAATTAAACAATTTACATTAATTTTGTGTATTATTTGATTACAGATCTAGGTAACTATGATACCGCTGGTTTAGCAACTTATTATAATACAGCCGACACATTAACAAGGCCACAACCATCTCCACCAGCTTCGCCAACCATAGTAACGCAAACAGAGACACAAGATAGCGTTGTTCCGTGTGTTAGACGAGTATCTTTACCATCTTCCACTTTAACTTCTATACCAAGTGTAGGTACAGGAAACGATAATACTGATTTAGACGAGGCACGTCGTGATGATAGTACCAGTGGTGGTGATATCGAAAAATATGCTCAAGACAATCTTAATTTGAATTGCGGAAGACCAAAAGGATTAAGATTATTGTTTCGAAAGAAATTCAGTGTCCGTGATATTCTCAGTTGGTCAAAGGATCCCATACCCCAGCCTATGTTGGTTGTTGTTGATGGTGAAAAATTATTGAAAAGAGAAGCATGCAATTTGTTTCGATTGGTTCAAGTATATATGGGTGATCGTAAGGCAAACGTTGGTATGACGTTAGACGGAGTTGCTATGGACATCGTAAATACAGCATTTTCTAAACCACCTTTACGCGATGAGCTGTATGTTCAAATCTGTAGGCAGACTACAGAAAATCCTCGAAAAGAAAGTCTTCGTAGAGGCTGGGAACTGATGGCTATTTGTCTAGCGTTTGTACCACCTAGCGCTACTTTTGAACCTTACCTCGAAGGATACATGAATAGGCACCGCGATCCAAACTTCCAATTTCCAGAGGTTGCTAAGTGGCCAATTCATGTACAAGTCAGTCATTATGCAACGGTTGCCTGTAAACGTCTTCAGCGAATTGGTGCTCATGGTAAAAGACAGCCGCGCAAGGCTACCACTGAAGATATCGATCAAGCTAGGGTAATTATTTAATAACTGTTTTAATAATTTATTTAAAAAGGTTTTATCAATAATTTATATTTTATTTCAAACAATAGATACAAATTTTCCGTGCATCAATGTTTGGTGCAACCCTATCCGAAGTAATGGCATTGCAAAGAGATCGTTTTCCACATCGTGAATTACCGTGGATACAAACGACTTTAACAAGACAAGTATTGGTACGTGGTGGCACATTAACGGAAGGTATTTTCCGGGTATCCGCTGATGCCGACGAAGTGAGCGCTTTGAAGGCCTGCTTAGATAAATTTGAAGATGGCGCAATATTGGCAGCTTCTCAAGATGCACATGCTCCTGCTTCCTTATTAAAGCTATGGGTACGCGAATTATACGAACCTTTGATACCAGACTCCTTTTATACGGAGTGCGTATCGATGCGTCACGACGATGCACAAGTTTCAGCAACTAGCGTAGCTGCTATCGTTGATAGATTGCCTGATCTCAATCGACGCGTTTTGTGTGACCTTATACGATTCTTACAGGTAAGTTAGATAATAAATAATAATTACGAAATGAGTTTCTACAAAAAGATAACATAAATATATTTATCTTTTCGTTTCAGATCTTTGCAAGGCCTGAAGTAGTAGCACGTACCAAAATGGATGCAAATAATCTTGCAATGGTAATGGCACCAAACATTTTACGGTGTACATCACAAGATCCTCGTGTTATATTAGAAAATGCACGAAAGGAAATGGCTTTTGTTCGTACTCTGATCGAGTCGTTAGACACTGCTTGGATCGATGGTCTTCACTGACCATTCTATTACGCTAGTAAAGAACACTTTAGACTATTATGCCAAATGAATCAGCTGTATATTCACACCCGTTGTTAGTTATCTCACTGTTCTCTACACGTTCGTATATTTTTGTTTATTTGTTTGTTCATCTTTCGTCACTTTAAAAAGATGATGAAGAAGAAGAAGAAGAAGAAAAAAAAACAAGAAAAGAAAAGAAAAAAAAAATATACCTTGAATGTTCTCTCGTGTTGGTAAGTTTAGTACTCGAAGTTTTACCAAGCTAATAACGCCATATTCTATTCTCCTTTCTCACTTTCTATTTATTATTTATATACAGATTCTATGTTATAAAGATAGAGATTATTAGATTATATTATGTAGATCCCTCTATATATATATATATATATCACATTGTATGTCTATATTATATATATATATATATATATATATACATACATACACATATTATATATATACATGTATATGTATATGCGTACAAGGTGTATCCGGTAGGGTGATACAACCGTGCGAGAGGTGATTCTAAATATAAAAATTTGCTCGAGAACGGGGCCTTAAACGAACAAAAAAATTTCACTCCTTTTTTTCGACGTTATTTTTACACTTAAAATCACCACCCCTTTTTGCCCGGTTGTACCACTCTCATCCGAATATATTCTGTAATAATATATATATATATATATATACACATATATACATATATACATATATATTTTATCATCCCCTTGTTACCGAGCAAAGCAAGCAAGCAAGCGGAGGGCTTTTTTACTCGATCATTGTTGAATCTCGTGTAAGATACAAGATCTTCATGTGTTATCATGTATAGCTGCACTCTTCGCGATGGTCTTTTTTGTATAAGCGATGAATTGAGAGACGTGTACAACGTTTATCAAAAGAGTAAACATTGTAAAACATCAATAAGTTGTACTCGCAGATGCGTTTCTTTGATTTTCCTCTTTTTTAGTTTCCTAAACATACTTACGTACATATACGTATATATAGATGTATTATTATTTCATCATTTCGCAAAATAGTTTCTTCCTTTTTTAATATATATATACATATATAACATGGAAATCATCTCACAATCAGTTCTGAAAACTTTTTCAATGCGTTCAATAATTTTTAACGTGAAAATCTTAAACGACGTTTCTAAATTCAATAGATAACATATTCTGATTGAAAACTGATGATACATGTGTGTATATATATATATATATATATATACATTAATGTTTTATTTTTTGTTGATTTTTCATTATCGTCATTAAACGTCATCGTTATTCATCATCATCATCGCCATCGTCATCATCCATTGTTAAACAAATTCAGCTTTATCAATGTAATTGTAGCGAAAAAATGTTTAAAGGCACCGTTACGCTTATCACAGTTTTTGAATGAGAGAAAGAGGGAGAGAGAGAGAGAGAGAGAGAGAGAAAATGAGAAAGAAAGAGAGAATGAGAGAGAGAGAGAGAGAGAGAGAGAGAGAGCGAGAAAGGGAGAGAAAGCAAGATAGAGAAAATGTGAAAAAGAAAAAAGAAAGAGAGAGAGAAAAAAGATAAGAAATATAAAAATGTTATACAGAGCTGCCCAAAAACCTAATCACGGATCAACTATTATTTTTATTTGACTACATACACGGTCACTCTCATTGTGTACAATGTGTTCCTGAAGAGTACAAGTTAAATCTTTACGCGTTTCATTAAAATATAAAAAAAAGAAAAAAAAATATGATATTTAAATTATAAAACAATTATATCACACACACATACATATACAAATAAACACACCGACACACACACACATATTAAACATAAACACGTACAATTAACGTTCCTATGCGAATAATAATGGCTACTAGTTTCTTGGTTACTTGTCTACGCAGAGAGAATAATAGTTACAGAACAATAATTAAAAAGAAAAAGACCAAAAAAAGGGGAGGGGGGAAGAAAAAAGTATAAAGAAAATAAACCAAATGAAAATTAAAAAACGACACGAACAAAGTAGTAGAGTTAAGCTTAAGTCGTAGTTACAATACAGCAACAACAATAAAAAAATAAAAAAAAATAGAGAGAGAGAGAGAGAGAGAGAGAGAGAGAAAAGAAAATTAATAATTGCTTCGTACTGTAATTGATGACGTTATCGCTTAACCCTTTATTTTTTACATTTAGGGTATATATATATATTATAATATATATTATATATATATATATTAGCTTTAAATCGAATCATTCAGCACACAAATTATTATCATCCTTCATTAACACGTGCACAAACATTACATACATTATCACCGAGCATATTCTTATCATATATTTATCTATATATCGAACGTACTAATCGT